GGTGGCTTCCACATCCTTCTCGGGCTCGCAAACCGTGGCAGGCTTGGCACTTCCTCGGCACCACAAGGGGGTGCGCTGTGGGTGGTTTCCCTATCCGTTTCGGGCTCGCGAAGCGTAGCAGGCGTGGATGTCCTCGACACCGCAGGGAATGCGCTGTGTGTGGTTTCCATATCCTTCTCGGGCTCGCAAACCGTGGCAGGCTTGGCACTTCCTCGGCACCACAGGGGATGCGCTGGGGGTGGTTTACATATCCGCTTCGGGCTCGCAAAGCATGGCAGGCGTGGCAGCTCCTCGACGCCACCAGGGGGTGCGCTGGAGGTGGTCTCTCTATCAGTTTCGGGCTCGCAAAGCGTGGCAGGCGTGGCACTCCCTCGACAACACCAGGAATGCGTTTGGGGTGATCTCCCTATCCGCTTCGGGCTCGCAAAGCGTGGCAGGCGTGGCACTCCCTCGACACCACAGGGGGTGCGCAGGGGGCGGCCTCTCACCGCACTCTCTATGCGCCCCAGTCGTCCAGGCACAGCAGGCGTGATACTTTCTCGACACCATAGGGTGCGCAGGGGGTGGTCTCCCACCGCAGTGTCTATACGCCCGAGTCGTGAATGCGCAGCAAGCACGTCACTTTCTCGACATCACAGGGGATGCGCAGGGTGGCACCATAGGGCGCAGGGGGGGGTCCCTCAGCGCGGCGTGCGCCGTCCGCCTGCCCACCGCGTCGAGACCTGTGCGCCGTCTGCCTGCCTACCTACATCCCCGCTCTCTTCCGTGGTCGCCATGGCTCAGGCTGTTGTTCGCGCGGGGGGTCAGTCTCCCGAAGTTTGACCGGCGTCACTAATGATATTGGCGGGGCAGCGCCCACCAGCATCATTCTCGCGTGTTTTACTTCAGCTGTCACCACTCCAGACGTAACATGAGCATGTGGGGTCCTCGGTGACGTAATTCCACGTGTCCGACAGGTTCCAGACTGCCCTAACGTGGTTGGAGGAAGCCAGGGAGCTTTTCGTGATGCGTTCAAGAAAGGAGTGCGTTGCGCGTGTTCGGCGCATGGTGTGAGTGGCGCCTGTGGCATGTCTGACGTAGCTTGCACCACATAGTTTGCACCGCAACGCTTGCATCAAATAGCTGTCTCTGGATGGCTTGCACAGCATAACTTGTACCATATAGCTCGCACTGAACATAATGCATTACGAACCCTTCACCACACATCTTACACCGCATCGTTTGCACCACATGGATGACACAACATAGCTCGCACCACAGCTCAGCTTGCCCCACACAGGTTGAATCGTGTATGTTGCGCCACGTAGTTTGCACCATGTAGTTTGCACAACATCGCTTGCACAACCAAAGTGCAATTACCTTGTGACGTACCCAACCCATATGCATCAAGTGATCTGAGAATTGGCCCGATCTTGCCAGGACAATGACGGCGCAGGCGCCGTTATATGTTGTGCACGCTACATGAGTTGCGCTCACGGGGCAAGATTCATAGGACAACAGAAAGACGCGGAACGACGGCCCAGGTTTGAGGAGGACATAAGGGGGCGGGAACGAAGAACGGAATAATGACGCGTGAGAGGGGGGCGACCCTTCAGCGCGGCAGCAGCAGAGGGAAGGTGGCAGGGGGCAGTGGACGACGACGAAAGTGACGGGAGGAGACCGACCACTGTTTGTTGCCTTTTGTCGGTAGCGCGTTGAAGGTGCAGCGTTGTCTGCGCCATGTTGCCGCGGAGCTGCATCCATATTGTCCGATGGAGCGAGCCAT